ATCGCAATGCGAAATGAAAATCGCAATGCGAAATGAAAATCGCAACGAGAGAATCGCAATGCGAAATGAAAATCGCAATGCGGAAATGAAAATCGCAACGAGAGAATCGCAATGCGATTTTAATTTCGCATTGCGATTCTCTCGTTGCGATTTTCATTTCGCATTGCGATTTTCATTTCGCATTGCGATTCTCTCGTTGCGATTTTCATTTCGCATTGCGATTTTCATTTCGCATTGCGATTTTCATTTCGCATTGCGATTTTATCGTTGCGATTTTCATTTCCGCATTGCGATTTTCATGTTGGGATTTTCATTTCGCATTGCGATTCTCTCGTTGCGATTGTAATTTCCGTGTTGCGATAGTCAAATGCATGCCTAAGAGTGATAACAACTGAATAACAAGAGTTGGTTAAGTCAAAATGGTTGGCCTGAGTCATTAATTCAACTGAAAATGTTAAAAGTTCACACATAAAATCCACATAATACAACGTTTGCATTTAAAATCACCTAAGTTAACAGTCCAAAAGGTGAAGCCAATTGTGATTGGGATTTTAAAGATGATTGCCTTTTGCTTGACACCATATGAGCTTTGGATTTTGATGAGGATCCATATTTTGGTAGAGGAAAAGATGATTTTGATGGCACTGGTGATCCACATGTCAACCTTGTATGACCACTTTCCTTGCACCGACTACATGTCGATCTCTTCTTCTCTTCACCCTTAGACGGTATACGATCGTGACTTTTTGGTCGGCCAGGTAGCCTTCTGTCCATGGCTGGTGGCAAAACTGTTTGTAAGTCATCTGGTATGTCCCACTCAGAAGGATGTGGAATAGGGTAGACAATCTCGGCATAAGTCTGTCGATAAACTTCTGTAGTGTAGCAATCCATAGCGTATGCGCTTGAATCATCTTGGTTTAAATGAAGAGCAACTTTTATAACATGGCCACACGGATAACCAGATGTTTGCCATTTCATACAACTACACGTCTTTGCATTTAGATCGACTAGCCCATTTAAGTTATTATCCAGTACTTGAAACAAAGTGTTTGAACATGGTTCAACTCTCCATGACGTTGAATTCACAACACGTTTCGTTATCTTTTTTTCAGTCCATGGTGTAACACGATGTTCCAATGTTCCTGTAAATTTAAATAAACAATACTTAGTAAAATATATAAATATGATAAGTTACGAATTCAAAGAAATAATACCTGCATGGTTTCTTTTCTTGTAGTACCACTGTTGAATAGAGGCTCGAAAAAACTCCATTAACATAGTAATGGGTAATTTCCGGGAATGACGACTTAGAGCGTTGATTGATTCTGCACTATTAGACGTCATGAAACCATATCTTGCTCCAAGTTGATGTACTCTTGACCATCTTTCAAACCCGACATCATCTAGTGTTTGAGCACACTGAGGCAAAACACGTCTTAAACAATTTATATGCTTATTGAAATCCACTTCCCGATAAGCTTTTACAGCCTTCCAGTATGTCCATTTGTGCTTTTTTATACCAGCAGACCTTGATTTTAGATTTCTATACAAATGAACACCACAAAGTCCATGAAAAGCATCTGGGAAACACCTTCTAACAGCGTTGTCAATTGAGTTTGCCCTATCGGATATGATTGTCAGATTGCTAATAGGACCTATGCAATCCCTAAGATGCCCCATAAACCATGTCCATGAATCAGAGGTTTCAGATTTGCCAACCCCGTAAGCTATTGGCAATATCCCATTGTTAGCATCCATGGCTACTGCTAATAAGTTTACTCCAAGGTATCGACCTTTCAAATGTGCTCCGTCAACTATAATAACTGGGCGCATGCAAGTAATAAACGAACGAATCTACAAAATAATATACACAAGAAATATAATCATTTAAATGTGAAATGCATGTAACTAACAAAAATGAGTCAACAAAATTATATTGATTTACTAACCGTAGCACCAATGGCGATAAACAGCAACTCAAAGTGTCCATCTCTATCTGTTTTGATATGAGTTACCGACCCAGGATTTTTCAGCTTTAAATTGTGACAATAAGCCGGCAGTTGGGCAAACGATGCTTCTGGCGACCCCTCAACAATTCCAAGGCATAACATTTGGCTCTCCAAGCTTGAGAATATGATATACTAATCTTGAATCGAGCATTCATGTCAGTCATAATTTCATGTCCCCGATATACCCTGCCATTCAAAAACATTAACTCAGCCAGAAAACCACCCAACACCTTTTTGTTTGCCTGTCTATGGTGAGGAAAAACTTGGGTTCTTGAACATGTATGTTTATCAATAAAAGTCCTAACTTGAAACATTTCGCAATCTTTTATTCTCTTTGCAATCATACGCCACGTACAGTTTTTGTCAATCATACACCTTGTTTCGAAACGATCTTTGCTTGATTTGTTAACTTTTAGTTGATAGCCATCTTCCACACATTTCGTATACAAAGCTATCTTCAAGTCTTTCTTTGTATCAAAACAATCATCTTTCTTGATACGAATAACTTTTGTGTAACAATCAACTGCTTTCTTTACCAACTCTTCTTCCGGTATCTGAAGTAATTCTGGCATATTCCAGTTATACGCCCGTGGCATTTTCTTTTCTTCGGGGACTTTTTCTTCTTCTTTTTCTTCTTCTTTTTCTTCTTCAGGATTATATGAATTACAGAATGGATGTTCAACATGTTCATTCACAGTCGTAACTTCCTCCTCATTATCATCAACAATACATTCTTCGACAACGGCTGTTTCATCATCAAAATTCGGGTATTGACCAATATCAAAATCATTACACGCAGGGTCTGTTTCTTCTTCTGAAACATCATCAAAATCCGTGTATTGACCAATATCAAAGTCCGGATATTGACCAAGACCAAATTTCGAATACTGACTAGTACTCACAATTTTTTCTGTTGGCTCATCATCGTCTAACTGGTCAATACGAAAACCGGAATTTGGTGCTGAAAGTTGATTGGGATTTGGATTAGAGAAAGGTTGTGGGTTTTGAGAAAAACTTAGTTGATTACTACCCACTACTGACCCAACAATACTACTTCTAGGTTCAACAACATACAATGTAACATCATCTTGTGAAACACTAATGTAAGCAATGAATCGTTCAACATCTTCATTGTCGGTTAACAAATAAACTTTACCATTTCTCTGATAAGATAGCCTAAATCCACTTAGGGGCTCTAAATTCAATTTATTTGAAACACGTAGCATTAGAGTTTCATAAGTTAACTTTTGTAAAGACAATTTTAGTTGAAGATTCATGGGTAAAGGCATATATTGTAAAACACCATGAACATTATCCCATGACCCTCCAAAACACAAATCTATCCAAACATGATCAACATTAGATGATTTCATGGTTGTAAATTAATTTACTAAACAGACGAGCTGCGAAACTAAAACCTGTTGCCGGATTGGGAAGGATGTCGTTGGATATAGGAACGGATGTCGCCGGAGAGAGTGATAGATGGAGATGGAATGAGTTGCGATTTAGGGATTTAGTTTATGATTTCAGTGTTATATACCCAAAATTTCAGTGTTGTGATTTACAGATTCTCGTTGCGATTTACGGATTATCGTTGCGATTTACAGATTCTCGTTGCGATTTACGGATTATCGTTGCGATTTACGGATACGCGTTGCGATATACGGATACGCATTGCGATTTACCCATACGCGTTGCGATTTACGGATACACGTTGCGATTTACGGATACGCGTTGCGATTTATGTGTTCGCGTTGCGATTTTCATATTCGCGTTGCGATTTTGGAAAATCGCAATGCGAATTTGTACTATCGCATTGCGATTTTTAAGAATCGCGTTGCGATTTTGGAAACTGATTTGCGATTCTGGGGATCGCGTTGCGATTTTTATTTCGCGTTGCGATTTTGTTGGTCATTTTGGCAAATCCAAAAAAAGTTGGTTAAAATCGTATATTATAAGGCATTTTTGGTCACTGAGGCGATTTTCTCAAATAAAAAAGGGCAATAGTTAGACGGTCACTAATATAATTTACCCTTTGTTCTAAATAATTTATCTTTACGTTTTTAACTAATTATAATTATACGTTGAGTACTTTAGAATTTAAATTTTTATAAATTAAATTAATGGTGCTCGTCGTTAGTAGTATCCATCGTTGCTCGTCGAGTGTAGAAGAATCATCATTCTATTATTATAATAAACCATTACCATTAGTGAATTATCATTTTATTAAGCGGAGAGATATTATATTTAGAGGTAAATGTCAAAATTTGAATCCATGCAAGTTCAAAAAATATGAGCACTTTTGGCCACTCGACTAATTAATATATATAGAGAGTGTTCAATTTGTTAACTTGACCATTGAAAAGATCAAATTAATTAAACTTTTTTCTTCAATCGTCAATCGAAGTAGACAAAGTTTGGTTAATTCGGTTGGTTAATTTTTTTAATTATATTAGCTAGATTTTGATAGATTTTTTCTTCCCGTCTTGAAAGTTTAATGGATCTAGATCAGTATAGTTAAAGACCGTATATATATATCTATTAAGTATTTTCAATTAATTCCATTAAATAATTTATTTTGATTAAATCTTAAAAATCTTAAATCAATATTTCATTTGTTAAACTGAATAATTTTATTTATAATATAAATATAATGTAAAAACTTAAATATGTTAATATATATATAAGTATTTTAATTTATATTTATTTCTGGTTTATAATGAAACCATATCCTGTTATTTTGGAAAGATCATTGCACCTTCGTCCCCTGTCCTTGTTTGCAAAACTTTCTGAACTCTTATGGCAAGTACGGAATGTTCACGACTTCTAAGTTAAATTAAATTTTATTACTTTTTATTTATTTTTCAAATTTCATTATATTTATTTTAATATTATTATTTATCTAATTTTAAGAATATTTTATATTCAAATTTTAAAGATTTAATCGTTGTTGTTCACTGAGATCACAGGTTCGAGTACGATTACAACATAATAATTGAACGTTCATGTCATATGATTGACAGTGTTTAGAACATATACTACTTTGTAATTCCCTTAATTTAATAAAAAATAATCGTAAAATATATATTAAATATATTAAAGTAAAAAATCCTATATTTCAAAAGAATTTCACCCATGTGATGAATTTAATTGGATTGGATTATTAGGGATAAATAATTAGGGATGAGTATAGATCAATATTGTCGAGTTTTGACAGATTTAAACTAGAAATAAGTATAATATATTTATTTATATTTTATTTGACTTGGATGTAGATATTTGATCTTAAATTCGACATGGTTTAAGATAAAAATTTATATTTGATTCGACAAATAAATAAATATATATTTAGATAAGACATGGAGTTTGTTAAAAATATATAAATAAAACATATTATTATAATTATCTCTAAATACATAAAAAACAATTATATTATTATCTCAAATCTAATCAAAAAAATTTAACCTAAACCTAAATCAACCTAACCTAAAACATTTTTTTCTAAATATTAACATTTTTTTATTTTCTTTGTAAGGTCAAAATATTAGTCCTTACAAAGAAAATAAAAAGCAGTGGGGTTGATATGTAAATTTTGTAGAATTAAGGGACCACTAACCAAAACCTAGTCTCATTGTATTCTGTTTTGGCTTAATTATAAAATAAGTGCTCAAATTATAACATTTTTCACATATAGGTGCATAAACTATTTTTTTTAATGATTTTGGTGCCTAATGTTACAAATATTACTCCTTTAGGTGCCCGGACTGTCAACGACGTTAATTTATTTCATTAAGTGATACATGTCACAATCTAGTAATTTTTAAAATTTTATTTAAAATTAGAAAAATTAAAATTATATTTTAAAAAAGAAATTTTGAAATAACCCCAAAACTTCAAAAACCTTCATTTCAAAAGCTCCACCCGACCTCACCTCCCCGGTGACCAAAACCCCTATGAAATCGTGATCGATTGACGGTCGATCAACCACGAATCGGCATTTTAACAACTAATCGGTGGTAATAAGATGGCATATGACTAAGAGAATAACAATAACTACGTCAACAGTGGTGGTCGTGATCGAAAAGAACGACGATAGAAGGTTTGGATTAGGATTTATGGATTTTGAGATTTTTAGTAATTTAAGAAAATTAAGATTTTTTTATAAATATAATAATAATTTTAATATTTTTTAAAATTTAAAATTACTAAATTGTGACAATTTCATTTAACGTAAGATATTACATATACCATTTACAATGTTAGTCGCTAAAATCATTCAAAAAATAATAATTAAAACATCTATTTATAAAAAAACGATATAATTTAGGGAATTATTTTATATTTAACCTTCTATTCCGCCTATAATTTATCCAATGGCTCAAAGTACCCCCCCTGCAAACCCTTAAATAGAAAGCCAGAGATCTGCGTTTTTCGAGAAAATAAATTTCCCAGTTCTTGCAAAAAGGAATCAAATTCACCCGAAATTTGGTTACCCTTTTCCACACTCAATCTCAAAGAACTAGTTGTTCTCATAATCCTTCCTTCTATATTAGTTTCTTCCCATATCCCTTTTGAAGGTATTGTCAGGATCTAAAAAAAAAAGAGAGGAAATTTGATGAATTGACGCCATTGCTTTTTATGATTTCACCTTTTCCACTCCACAACTTGATCAGGATTTTAGTTCCTTTCCGAATTTCTTCCCTTTTCTCCAAGGAAGCATCTTTTTCTTCGTTGTTGTTGTTACTATTAATCTTGTTCCAAACTTCCTCCTCTGCTTTCACTTCCAAAAGTTCAAATCTTTGTGAAACAAAAAACCAGAAACCCAGCATCATGAGAATCCACCCTTTGCCGAAGAGGAGGAACATCACCAACCAATATGTGATGAACCCGAGGACCGCAAGGTCCCAAGCTGAGTCCTTGTTGAACGGCAGTGGTGTGTCCAACAAGAAGCTCCGTAGGCTGCCCCACGTCTTCAGCCGCGTCCTCGAGCTGCCTTTTAGGTCCGATGCCGACGTGGCGGTGGAGGAGAGTCCCGAATGCTTCAAGTTCGTCGCGGAAACCGATGGGAGGATCGACGCTGTCGTCAGGGCTCATACAGTGGAAATCCATCCCGGGGTTACTAAGATTGTGATAAGGTCCAACAGCTTGGTGGATTTCGGTTTGCTGGATGATTTGGAGCTCGACATGTGGCGGTTCAGGTTGCCGGAGACCACCCGTCCGGAGCTCGCTAGTGCGGTTTACGAGGACGGAGAGCTGATTGTGACGGTGCCGAAGGGAGGAGAAGTGGAGGATTTGGAGGGAGGAGGAATGGTAAATGGTAATAGCAATAATAATAGGCTTGTTCTTGTACAGTAAGTAATAACAATGGAATCATTTGCCTCGTTTTTTTCTTTAATTGCATGCTGCTTTCATTTTAGTTTTTCAAGGTCACTGGTTGGAGCTTAAATTTTTTTGTATGTCTACCTTTTATTATTTCTCAATCAAATCAAGAATTGTTCTTTGAATGATGGGGAATGGCATTGCTTAAACAAATCTTGATGATATTTAATAGAGGATGAAGCTGGCTTTGTGATTTGCAATAAAATAGTTGTTTTTAAGTTCATGTTTGTGTATATCAAGGCTGCTTATGGTGCATTGTGCTTCACAAGCCCAGGAAAGGTCTAAATTTTTTTGATATGTTCATGGAAAGTACATGCTTTGCTTAAGTTTTTAACCATGTGAAAATGATCATAAGCATGACCGTGGATGTTTTTTTCTTCTTGCTTTCGTTTTATTTTTCGTGGAAATGAGAATCGACATAAACTGGTTGACATTGGGTTCTTCTCGTTTCTCATCCCATATTTAGGCATATGCCTAACATGTTTGTTAGGATTATAATTTAGTGATTACCTAAATGATTGGTTTCCTGTCTTCATCTTAACCTAAATGATTACTATCGCATCTTCGTGTTAACCTATATGATTACTTTCCTGTCTTTGCCTTAGAGATTTGTGGCATTTTTCGAACTCGCATTTTCCTGTTTACATCCTTGCTTGAAACTCAACCATAAACATAGTAAAGCAACAAGTTAACTTTGGGATGCTGATGTTGAGAATTGGTTCCCTTTCTTTCTCAGTGGTAAAGAATCTATGCTTTTGGTCCACGTGGTCTTTGATTCATTCATACATTCATTCTTTTTCATATTATGATGAGTCTTTTTGTTGATATCTTTCTTTCTCTAAAGTAATCTTAAAGAAAGTCCACTTGTTGATTCATAATGTCAAATAGTTATCAATCTTTGCCTTTTGGTCATCGATTCGTTGATCCAGAAAGACAATTGTGACATCTTTATCTGCTCTTTTGCTTGCCATTATATACTTCGTATCATTCATATGATTGTCACTGGTTGCTGAACCTGCATCCTCATCTTAATTTACTGCAACACTTTCTGAAATCGGAACGTATCATGCATTTCTTCCGATGTCGACATAAACCTATCCTTCTTGCCTCCTACAGAAAGGCCGGTTTCAGTTATTCAGAATATCTTTGTGGGTTTATTGTTGAAGCACCCAACCTATAGGTTCCCAAGCCCTGAAGGTGTGGTGGGGGAGGACCAGGGTGATGGACATAGTTTGCAAATCTGTATTTGGCATCCATGTTTGATTTATATCTCTCAATAGGAGCATGACATATTCTCTCAATACGATTATGGCATACTTGCACGGAATGCATATCGATGTTCCCAAATCAGAATGACAACATTTTGATTGCGGTGGGGTTGTTGTTTTTTGGCTTAAGGAAAAGATTCTTTCACAATCACAAATACATTACTTTAGACGCATCTATATTATTGTCTTGAATGATGTTAACAACTCAATGGTTGAATCCATGCTTTATGGATGTTTCATGCCCAATGATGCTATAATTCCTTGTACCAATGTTTATAATGAATCAATTGTCCAAGAAATCATATGATTCCTATTTGATGTGTTTTAATACAGTTTCGATTGAATTCTCGTATCGAGTCAAATGACATAAACTGTATATGTATAAGCTAAATTCAAATCATAGTAATTGTTAAAATACCGAGTAAATAAGAGCGTGTCAACAAACCCCCATTGCTGATGCTTAAAGCACAACATAACAGTTCCATACCCGTGGCTATGGTGTTCAAAACAATATCAACCTAAGCAGACAATGATGACTTTGTTGTTGTTTCTTCAAAGGGAAAACCCTTTTAGAGGAGCAAATTTGGCAAGTGTTTCGGCCTCACGCCTTATTCCGCTTTCATTCTTTAGCTCCCATTCCTTTTTTTGGTTTTAGCGAGCTGAACCTCATGTACGACTTTCGGAATGGAGTTTGCCACCAATTTTTGATTATGTATCAATTCATCCTTGTTTCTAATCTTCTTATATATCATCAGTCTTGTGACCTCGGTGCGTCGAGCTTCGATCTATGCAAGCTTATTGTCAATATCTTGTACGGCCATTGTGGTGGAATCTACCTCGGACTGCAGATTTGTTACTAGTTTTATCTCACAGTACTCTTGTTTCAGTGAAGTAACCTTGGCCATGTTGTACTCGAGGGCTATGACGAACTTGTCTGCCTGCCCCATTACTTCCCTATTCTCTAGAAACGTGACGGCGAATGTTGGAATCTCTTCCATTAAATTCAGTTTCACAAGTTGTGCAACAGTAAGCGTAGGATACTTCTGAAGTTTGGATGCTTGAGTAGCGAGTTCATCGAGGTCTATGAAGCAAAATCCATATCGAGAAGCGAAGATAGTTTCTTTCGAGCTTAAGCCATCGTTGCCGGATGGTAAAATGGTTCTTGAAACCAAGGCTGAACAAGAATCTCATCCAAAGAATTGAGGTAGTTGTCGAACTCAGCTGCAACCATTTCGAAAGGCAAATAAAAGGAAGAAACAAAGAACAATTTTCAGGAAAATGTATACATTCCAAATTCTAACCCCTTTCCATTTCATTGTCTAAGAAAGGCGCATCAAGATCATCGTTCATATCTTCAATTACGGACGGGGGGATGCAGAATCTGTAAGTCGCAGGTGAGTTTGTTGCTTAGGTCTGGCTGACCCTTTAGTTATCTTCTGCATTTTTTCGCCGTAGCTGGAACTCAGAGTACTTAACAAGGAAGTGGGAGGAGCCCTCTTCCTTTCCGTTTTATGCGGAGTACAATTTTCAGGAAAATGTATACATTCCAAATGAGGAAAACGTTACTATTCCGGTCAGGCACATGCGTTGACAGGTGATTGTCAATACCATGAAACTTTTTCACGATATTCAGTTCATCAAAGCAGACATAATACAAGAAAAAAGAAGTCTATAAATGCAAGCAGCAGTAGCAATTAGAACCGGATTAATTCTCAGTTCCTAGGTCTTTGAAGCCTGCAATCAAACGACTTTTGACTAACATATTTGATGAGAATGACTAAATCTATGTAATTCAAACACGGGTATACTCAGTTTTTCACTTTTTTGTAAGTTGTCCATGTACGTCAAGATATAGGACGGACATGGGTTGAAGAGGAGTAACAGATGGCTATAAATTATTGGTTAATATCCATACCACCTACTCAAATACCATACTGAATACATTAAAATTGTTTCGCAAGAACAATTTCAGAAGCAACAAAAATATATGCGTACGGTTGCTATGTAAGCAACAAAACAGACCTCTCACCTTCATGTTCGTGCCTAAAAGGACGGGCATTCGATAGTTTATCAATGAAATTTAAATAATAGCAGCATATAAACCAATTTGAGGATCAAAATTGCTGGTACAAAAGTACGTTCTCATGAAGATTTTGTAACAAATGGTAGCACAATGAGAGTTCCAGTTGAAATGCAGATAAAATTATGGTTTCATTTGCATTTACTACGAGTCACAATTACCGGATGAAACAAAAAACAGCGTGCCAACAATCACCGTGCTACACCCTTAATTATAAGTGCTATATCATTCACAAGCGCATGCACTTAAAAGTTCTTAAGAACATCAATCATGCGTAATTGTAACCAACATCTGAGTGCTTTCATAACTACACCAAATTGGTCACATAAGGACCGGAGGGGTTTAAAGACATATAAAATGATATATCAAGGTCTGCAACCAAGTTATAAGCTAAAGAAAAATATGGAATCTAAAGATCTGACTCATTCGATCCGGATACCCTGCAAACGTTCTATGGTTAGTTGCTAAGTATTATATAATCAATATGCATTCTAGATCTCTTCCTACCAAAAAAGGGGAAAGAAAAAAGGGTAGAAATCAAATTTACTCGCAAGATGGATAAGGAAGCAACACAACGGCAGGAATCTTCCAAATAAATGAATCAAAGAACGCGTTAACATCTGCATCCAGGAAATCGGACTGGAGAAAACGTTCAAGTGCTGGCTTGCTTTAAAAGATTTTCGGGGCATTTGGCTTTCGAATACTTCTCGGAATTTTGAGATATCTATCGCTATAGAAGCCATAACTTTTGACCTTCCTCCTCACTCTTCAGCTCCAAATATCACCAACATTTGGCCAATGCATAGGGGCATAAGGTAATCCTTCTCCACAACTACCAGGCGGAACTCATGGAAGGGAATTATTCTTTTTAATTACAGGATCGTATTGGTTACCTCCGTCATAGATATCGTTCCCCAGAAATTTCTGTTTCGGCTCACAAGGAGTGGAAGCAGGTCCAGCATAGTAACTGCAAATTGGGATAAAATTGCATCTTTACTCCAAAATTCATAGGAACATACAATGAAGGTAGTATCTTACTCGGACTCAGCTGCAAGTGTCGGATATAAGTACGTTTCTCACAAGGGTTTGTCCAATTTCCATGTATTTGGGGGGTTACATCCGACACCCGTAGCAGAACATGATTATCAAAATGTGTATAGAAAAATGAAGAATGGGAGCAACATACACCGGAACAACTAAACATGCAAGGATGGACGGAGGGGATGCTGGGGTGCAGTCTCTCCCCTGAACATTTCAAATTCTCATTTGTAGGTATTTTCTTTGAATCCTCCCTTGATGATCTAATTGTGCACCCATAAATTTTGTAATTTCGCACCCTTACATTTCTAATATAACTTCTTATTCGGACCTCGTCACATACAATTTTATGTCCGTCCCTGAGAACATTGTTTCTTACGTACATGCTCGCTAGTCTTTTTTGCATGTTCTTACAGTACACAAACATTCTTACGAACCCAAATTCTCATCAGACATCATCATCAGATTAAACTCACCCAACAGCAAAATATGTAAGAAAATGAGCAAACGTAAACACTGAAACAACAATTGGATGAAGAAATAAAGAAGAAATGAAACCAAAAGCACAAAACTTACTCTGGAAACAGATCTCGAGGAGGAGAAGGAATTGGCATCATTAGAACAAAAATCCTTGTTTGACCTGCAAAAATAAAGCACCCAGAGGGATCAAAAGATTGAAATATTATTTAAAATACAAAAAAATTAATAGAAATTTATATAAAAACATTTCATTGATCTGTCTATAAAATTTATTATTTTCAAATATAAAATTAATAAATTACACACTTACTCACTTATTTTTACTTTTTATCCCATTTATCCTATTTCACTCACGTACTTTTAATTTTTCTAATTTACTTATTAAACTATAGATATTGAATACTTTTGTTCGATCCTGTTAATTTATTAACAGAGTGATGACGTGCCATTTTAACTCAAACTTTTCCGTTTTATTTGACTTTTCAACTTTCTAATTTCTCTTCTTCTTCTTTTTCACTCATCCACGTCAACCATTTCATCGCCATTACTGTCCACTGCTTCGAAGTGAAGATTGTCTCATAAATTGGTGGAGTACATGAAGGCTTCGAGCCTCTGACTCTATCTTGTTGAATAATAGAAATGTCAAAAACTTGTTAAATAACAACTATATTGAACACGTACCATAGATTTGAAGAGAATCTCAGATTTGAACTTAGCACGAACAACCCCACTGTTACCATGAGGTCTAGCAACCTTTCCCCAAATGCAGCGATAGTGTGAGCCATTCTTCTTCACTTTAGCCTTGTAAAAATAAGCCATGTGCATACAACATACCAGCATACCAAGCTACTTTCTCCTTGGTGTTAACTCCCTCAATTTGGATCAAAGAAGTGTTCGGACACTGGTTCAACTTTGACCTAACACCCATCACCGAACAAATCATAAGCAACAACACACACGAAAAAAAAATCAAAAGTTATTTGTACATAAAGTCTGCATTAAAAAAATCAGGAAAACGAAAATGGAATAGAGCACGTATAATATGTTTGTTAGTATTGGAAGGTAGTGATTACCTAAATGATTGTTTTTCTGTCTTCATCTTAACCTAAATGATTACTTTCGTATCTTTGTGTTAACCTAAATGATTACTTTCCCGACTTCTTCTTTAGAGATTTGCGGCATTTTACGAACCGACATTGTCCTGTTTACATCCTTGGTTGAAGCTCAACCATAAACATGGAAAATCAACAAGTTATCTTTGAGATGCCGATGTTGAGAATTGGTTCCCTTTCTTGCTCAGTGGTAAAGAATCTATACTTTTGGTCCACATGGTCTTCTATTGATTCATACATTCATTCTTTTTCATATTATGATGAGTTTTTTTGTTTTTTTTTTTATATTTCTTTCTCTAAATTAATCTTAAAGAAAGTCTATTTGTTGATTCATAATGTCAAATAGTTATCAATCTTTGCCTTTTGGTCATCAATCCATTAATCCAAAAAAACAATTGTCACTGGTTGCTGAACCTGCATGCTCATCTTAATTTACTGCAACACTTTCCAAAATCGGAACATATCATGCATTTCATCCGAAGTTGACATAAACCTATCCTTGTAGCCTCCTACAGAAATGTCAGTTTCAGTTATTCAGAATATCATTGTGGGGTTATTATTGAAGCACCCAACGTTTAGGTCCCTAAGTCTTGGAGGAGTGGTGGGGGAGAACCAGGGTGATGACGTGGTTTGCAAATCTGTATTTGGCATCCATGTTTGACGTATATCTCAGTATGAGCATGGCATACTCTCAATACGAGTATGACATACTTGCACGGAATACGTATCGATGTTTGGTGTTTTCTCCCAAATCAGAATAACATGACATTTTGATTGTGGTTGGGTTTCTGCTTTTTGGCTAAAGGTAAAGATTCCTTCACAATCACAAATACATTACTTTAGAAGCATCTATATTCTTGTCTTGAAAGATTCCTTCACAACTCGATGGGTGAATCCATGCTTTATGGATGCTCCATTCATGCCTATGATGCTATAATTCCTTGTACCAATGTTATAATGAATCAATTGTCCAAGAAATCATATGATTCCTATTTGATGTGTTTTAACACAATTTCGATTGAATTCGTGTCACGAGTCAAATGACGAACTATATATGTATAAGCTAAATTCAAATCATAGTAATGGTTAAAATGCAGAGTAATTAAGAATATGTCAACAAACCCCCATTGCTAAAGCTTAAAGCACTACAACATAACAATTTCATACTAGTGGCTCTGGTGTTCAAAACAATATCAACCTATGCAGACCATGATGACTTTGTTGTTGTTTCTTCAAAGGGAAAACCCTTTTAGAGGAGCAAATTTGGCAAGTATTTCGGCCTTTCGCCTTATACTGTTTTCTTTCTTCAACTCCCATTCCTGTTTTTTGGTGTTAGTGAGCTGAACTTCGTGTACGACTTTGGAATGGAGTTCGCCACCAACTTGTGCTCAACTTTCAATTCATCATTATCTCTCTTCCTCTTGTCTATCAGTCTCGTGACCTCGTAACAACGAGCTTCGAGTTGCGCAAGCTGATTGATTATATCTTGCACGACAATTGCACTCGAAGCACCTTGGATCGACTTAACTCGCGATGGAAAAATCGTCCAAAACATAGCCCAACTCAACGACGAGGGGCTATTTTCCAGTATAGGTCTTCAGGTCTAGAAGAAGACCCCATGTTAAATGCGATTTAGCTTAACTTAACAATGAGGAGCTACTTTCAGCCCAATTTTCAAGCAAGATTTCAACTTAACGACGAAAGATATCAAGTTCGAATCGTCTCATTTGACTTAGACCCGCAAAGGAGAGTCACCCAAAAAACCTAGACTGACTTAAACCACGAAGGGGATTCGACTTATTTGACTTAGACCCGCGAAGGGGAGTCACCCAAAGAACCAAGACTGCCTTAAACCGTGAAGGGGAGTCGTCTCACATGACTTTCCTGTGAAGGGGATTCATCCGAAGAATCATGATCGACTTAAACTGTGAAGGGGAATCATCTAACTTGGAATTCCCATGAAGGGGAGTTACCCAAAGAATCAAGTCCGACTTAAACCGTGAAGGGGAGTCGTTTCACATGGCTTTCTTGCGAAGGGGATTCGTCTTGCTTGGCTTAAATCCGCGAAGGGGAGTCATCTGAATAATCCTTCACTTGAAGGAATCATTTATAGCATAACTTAAGTCGAGAAGAGCTATCTGTCAACCAAAGCTTTTAAGTTCAGGTTTCAACTTCACGACTTAGGATACTTGACTCGGAAACGCATCCAGAACTGATTGCATTTTAAGCCAAGAATGATCATCTACAACTTCGACTCAGATTTCAACTTCACGACAAATGATGCCGAGTTCAAAGAAAACACAATTCAATAGAAGTCTGATTTGGTTATTGAAGAAAAACCAACCTCTCAACATCAAAAGAGTGAGCTCGTCTTCAAAATCCGTTTATTTTGAGAACAGAAAGAAAATTTGTGTCGTTTTATCTTTGCCCTATTGTTGTTACATGACAATGGACAAAGAGTGGCAGCTGTAGACACTCATTTTCATCCAGGACTGCAAGGGTTTTTATTACAATATTTATATTATATAGAATATATGATAATATATAATATATAAATATAGTTTTGTTTGAAAATAATATATAGTTTTTGAAAACATATTATATAGTTTTGAAAACATAATATATAGTTTTTGAAAATATAATATATATTATATAGTTTTTAAAATATAAATATAGTATACATATTATTATTAGTATTTTTTCTTTTTCTTTTTTTTTTATCTATTTCTTTTTTTTTTGGTCCAATAAAAAGTTCTAGTTCAGTCTAAGTTCAAATCACAATCCAATTTGAATTACAACAAAATTCCAAATTCAAACCCGTCGAAGCCCGTCTGTATGACCCAGCAAAGGGAAACCCAGCTGGCAGACCCGCTTGACCCAGTAAGCCGCTAAAATGACCGCTACAAAAATGAGAAATCCATCAGTTTGAGAGGAGGAGAAAACCAAAAAAAAGAAAATTGATAAAAGAGAGAAAAAAAGGTTATTGGGGTTCGATCTTCGAGAGGAATAGCATTGCCGACAGCCAAGGAACATAACTGGGAAGCCCGTTCGTTACCGTGAACACAAAAGGTCGTCAGAAAGAGTAAGAAAACCAAGAGGGTTTAGTTTAGATCTAGGGTCGACCGGTTGTATGGTGGTTTGGAGGGTGGATCCGAGTTTGTAGTGAGGATGAGAGGGTTTTGGGAACTCCGACCACCATGGGTGGTGGTCGGAGCGGTGGTCGGACGATAGAGCACGATGTCTCCAAGAGAGAATGACCGGAGAGAGAGAGGAGAGTTGTGAGCATTTTGAGGTCTTCAGGTTTAGGAGAAGGGTTACAAATGAATGGGGAATGGATTTTTCGAGCTATTTACAGGGGACCAATTGGTAATAATCCAATAGCTTAATCACGTCCATCGTCCCTCAATATTTGATGTGTAATTCATTTTGGTCCTCAGTTGTAATTCAATACTTGAATTTCAGTTTATTTCAATTTAATCATTTTTATTATTTTCTATTTTATTTAAATTGGTACCCTAACTTGTTTTTTTATTTTGCAGAGTTTAAATGTTTTTTTAATATTTTTATTTTTAAATTATTTTTTCTTAACGTAAATTTTATTGTTTTAAGGAACCCTTTAAATATTTCGATGATCATCAATGGTAAATAAATATGGATCAAATTTAAATTTTTATCTAAACTTATAATTTTTGCAATTAAGATAACCCGGTAAAAGTGTGGTACCAAAAGGGTGAATCGAGGGTCCTCATCCTTCCTCGATCATAAATAACTCTTGAACCCGATAATTCTCTAGTAAAACGTAGATCCGTTAAAATGGTAAGTAGGTGTCCGATCTACCTAATTTGAAATGATCAGTGGTGACTCCATCACACATTCTAAATCAGAGCATGAACCCGAGACCACCCGAAGGGCTGTTGCGATAGCTTGGCTGCTCTACTAGGGACACAAGAGAGTCAGGCCAACAATCGATTACCAGATTGTCTTCTTATGTGAAAATTGTAAGTTTAAATTTCAATTTATTTTTGACATGTTTAAGTAGAGTGAAAGCGAAGCCTTCGTGAGAATTTATTCTATGTGTCAGGCCTAG